ATGAACAAGTGTTGTGTTGTAAATTCTCATAAAGGAATATCACTACGTGTTGGCCAAGGAATTGTGACTTTTTGTGAGACTTTTCTCCAGATTTACTGCAGTATTCGTGTACAGCATTCTCAATAATTCTCTCTACTTTTTCATGTATATCCACAACAGGTTCAGGTAGCAGTACACTTAAGTTGGTGTCACCATCAATATCTTTTCCTGGGTTGATTTGGTCTTCTGAAGAACCCTTATGATCTCTATGTTCTGTGCTTGGCAGGAATTCAACATTTTCCATGTCTTCGATTTCACTATCTAAATGTAATGTACCTAGCCTTTCATCAGATATGATGATGTCGGTGTAGGACTCACACAACTAAATCAGCCAATCAGCAAGTGTTTCATACGTTTGTAGTTCCTATTTGAAATAAGTTCCGGCTAATAACTAGGCCACTGATAGAGTTTAATAAGGAACTGATGACAGATTTTTAGATAAATGAAATGTTCAGGTATTTAACTTTTGAAAAATATATACTTTTGATATATTTTCATGTCTGTGTGCGGATTTGCACAGGGGCAAAATGTCTGGGGCGTTTCTGTTTTGGGTCACCGGTTTTGCTTGTAAACTTCCGGTTGTCAACTTCTTGGCGCTGTGACACTCCAATATGCCACTAAACCTACCAAAAAATCATTTTGTAGCCTTTTCAAGGTATGTATTTATGAATGTAGACTTAAATGTTTGGTAATAACATATAGTAAATGATTTAGTTGTGCGAGTCCTGTAGGCAGGATTTTTACTTTTCAACAGGTCAGTGCTTTTTGAATTTTATATTGACGCACTCGAAGATCTTTTGATGTTTCATTTTCACCTTGCTTTCTCACCCTGATCATTTTTATTTCTTGTGGCAACCTGGGAAATATGCGAGCTGGCTCATTACCCTCTTGGGGAAACGTCACACAGTGGCCGCTTGAAGCTATGTCCCCATGTTTGAGCATGTAGATATTTAAGTATCCCCTTCCCTCCGCCTAAAAATGTAATGAGGCATTGTTTTTTTCTTTCTACGGCATCGCTATTGCTTGACCAAATTATTTCTGAACAGTAACCCATACCTTGTGGTAGTTTCTTCAGATCTTTTGGGATATTATGAAATTTCGATTTTTTTGGGGATTTTTTTTTCAATGACAGAATGAAACAAAATACATTTTATTTGATGCAACAACGGTTTATTAGAAATATAACCCATAAAAAATAGTAACAATGTCAATATTGATGAACAAAACACACACAAAAAAACTGAGTAGTTTTTTCTAACAATAATACTGAAACAAACAAAAATGCCCGTTACATGAATCAATAAAATTCCGAGTGCCAATGCAACACGTTTAGGACAACGAAAAGAAAATATAGGTGACAAAAAATAAATATCTTGCGGACTTACTTATTATACAAAAAATTATAAAGATACAAAAGAAAAAAACCAAAAAGTGAGACAACTCTTACATTTGTACCAATAATAATTCTAAATCCCCAAAAGTCATATTACTTTTACATTTTGTACAGATAACAACATACCATATTGTGATATAAAAAATATCACACTATAAAGCAATAATAAACTTTGTCATTATATACAGATAACAACATACATTGTGGTTTAACAAATATCACACTACACAACAATAATACACGTTTACATTATGTACAAATAACAACATACGATAGTGTGGTATAAAAGTATCACATTGTAAAAATAACACTGTTGTATGTAATATAATTGGATTAAAGGTATGTAGTGAGAAACAGGTAATGCCACTGTTCGGTGTCTCGTAGCTCCGAAAACTTTTATATAACAAGGGCGAGGGTTTGTGAAAAGATTATATAACACAACCGAAAGGGGTTTATTTGTGACGAGTTGATGACTAGTACGGTATGTGCACCGTCACCTTCATCAAACAAATGACCAGTGAAGCGTATGTACACAAAGGTGTAAAAAAAAAATATGTACGAGTTGTCCACAAATCGTACGCTGTAAGCGTATGTACAATTAGTTGTTATATAGGTACCGAAATTAATCGATATAGCTGCACTTTGTTAAGTACTTGGTCATAAATGTGCGAGAGTGTGTGAACCCCCTTATCTCGATTCAGAATTGGCCAACTTCGGCGTATCAAGATGGCTTTCTTTATCTGCCGCTTGAACAGATTGCTCTCTTTTTCCAATACCTTAGAGTTATCCCAGTCAATCACATGACTTTTCTGTGTGGCATGATCTGTGATTGAATCTGCTGGAATCTGCAGTGAGAGGTGGTCGGTGCACTGGGTTCTTCATCCAAGGCATGGGTGTTTTATGGAATTTGTACAGGGCAAACCATCTGATCGGGCTCGGGAGAGAATACCATGAAGCTTCCTTCTTCGCAAGAAGAAAGAACCCAAGGTTACACAGTTTTTGCTATTGTAAGATCCGCATTATCGCATCTTGCAGAACTAATGCCGAAAATGTTCAATCCTTAAAAAGACATCTTTCCGTTTTGAAATGTTAATTATCAGGTATTTCAGAATGGCACTTTTTCAAATTTATTAAACTTGTCGTTTTCCTCAGTAAAGCTCTCTCACTTGGCAATTATTTCTTACTTGTTTGTTAAAAATACCTGTTCGGGAGAAAACAAAGGATAATTACGAAAGGACACCAGTAAATGACTGACATAGTTAGTAGTAACATTAAACTTTTCGCAGATGATACCTCGCTCTATATTATTGTTGATGATAATCCTATTTAGGCAGCACAAAATCTCACTAACGACTTGCAGAATATATGTTCTTTGGCTAAATGTTGAGATATAAAATGTATCGCATCCAAAACTAAAACTATGATCTTCACACGGAAAAAAAGAAACTAACCACCCTCCAAACGTCTTCTCTAATCAACCATAAACATTTAGGTATTACTTTTAACGAAGATGGTAAATGGGGTCAACATATCCAACATATTTATAATACAGCCTATTCCGTCTTTGCGTATTGCAGAGTTATCTTCTCTTGAGAACAGGTATTGATTGTTACGTCATTGGTTTGTGAGAGTAACGTCATCAATTTTTGAGAAAATGTCGTAATTTTCCCACACAAACCAATGACTTAACAATCAATACCTGTTCTCAAGAAAAGATAACTCTGCAATACGCAAAGACGGAATTACAGTATTAATATATTAAGAAGCCTTAAACCCTCACTTTATATCTTATATTAGACCAATTTAGAAGATGCAAATGTAGTTTGGGATAAAAGCACTGAGCAATCAAAAATATTATTAGAATCAGTCCAACTAGATAATGCGTAAGTAATGGGTAGTGGTACATCACACCATAACTTATACACAGAATTGGGATGGGAAACCTTAGCTGATAGGAGGGCGAAAGACAGTCATTTCAATGTTTTAATTATTGCATAATACATCACCAAAGTACTTTAATGATATAGATTATTCTTTTTTAAATGAATTAACAAATGTGAGATATCAGCTAAGACCAAAATAGAGTGATTTACCCCCCGATCTGTAGAACTGAGAGCTACTTTACTAGTTAATTTCCTTCAACTTTTCGACTTTAATGACCATCTATTATAATCTGCTGCATGTAAATGTGGTAATAAACAAGAAACAAGTTATCATTACTTCTTTGACTGTGCTAGATACAACAATCACATACAAGTACTCTCGGCTACTCCAGTCAATGATAAACACTCGCTCTTTACTCTACTCACCATACTAAATGGTTATAACCAATGTGACAATGAAACTAGTACTAATATCCTAGAGAGTGTCAACCTTTATCGCGGACACAAAAAGAATATTCCAGATAAAAGAACTTCTGACATATAACGTGTTTAGTGATCTACTACTGGTTGTTACCATAAAAAATAAACCACAAACACAGTGTGAACATGGTATGCTCACTCCATAAATCAACATGGACTTGTATTTTGTAGTTTGCTCTAAGTAAATAATAACAAGTAGTTGAATAATAATATTTTTAGCGCATTATAATGTGAATGTCGATATAACATACAATATTGACATAGCTTATTCATAATATTTAATGTACATAAGCTTCATATTTAACTATCTGCAAGTCACTCTGTGTGGATCCTGAATTCCAAGGGAGGATCTACTGAAGGTCGATGGCTAATATTCACCCAATACCCTGGTGAGGTCAAGATACAGCACAGTTTGACCTGTAATTTCTATAATTAATTTGAGTTATCTCCCCTATACCTTTGACATGCACATTGATATATGTTTTGTATTTTCATTTCACTATACATTATAATATATATATATTGTTAACTACAAATGCATGCAGGAGAGAACTGATATAAGCATAGTTTGTTGTTTGATCCCATTCATATATCATCATGAATAAAATTTGTTAAAATGCCGCAATCACGTTTACAGGGAGATAACTCTTACTCTACAAACTGCTAGTGGCAGCCTGTCAGTCATTATGAAATCAACGACACATCATCCCGTACCGACTCTTAACAAACTGTCACAGACATCTACGGTTCTCAACGCGAGAAGCTTGAATTGTATGAACACATAGATCGATTTTTAAAGCGGAGCTTGGCCTGTCTATAATTCCGCCATTGGAATACAAATGCAGCCAAGGTTCCTATTAATGGATTGCGTTTATTGAGGTATTTTGAAATCCAGGATACTTATAATTAGTACGTCATTTTGTAGTCTAGACTTAATCTTAATAATAACCCTTAATGGAGGTCTCATATAAACTAAAAATGGATTAAAATACTAAAACTCGCACATATACAGTATAGAAACAGGGAAAATATCCTTCCAATTAAAACACTGTTAATCGGATCCGATTGTTGCTCTCAACAGAGTTCAGGACGTAGTTCCCCGTACTCGACACTTCCTTTGTATGTATAATTGATAGCGCTTTCCTTTATTCCTCGAATACGTGGCTTTAGTCAGTGATATGCATGTACGTCATGGTCTATAGCCTGGCGTCCACACATATACACACCATTTATAGCAGTAAGACGGAAACACTGACGGTCTACGCACACGTGTCCCGGATGAACGTGTACCATATGTTTACCTGCTGTGACCACGTGTACTACCGCGTCACACATGTACCTTTGTTTTATCATCTCTGATTTAACTACTTTATGGATTTATTCAGCATTCCATCATGTGTGATCGGGATAGACCCGGTAAGTGTACGTTTTGAGGTATACTTAGATAGAGTCCGTGGTTGACCACGTGTACCATCAACCTTAGATATGTAATATATAGCAGGTTCTTTGTTGTTACTGTAAATACAGGTAACAATCCTACATAAGGCAGGTGTTCACGCTCTCGTGTTCCTTACTCTCTGACCTTAACTTATAGACGTGTAGTAAAGTTACCCACGTCAGTATCTGTCCTATCGCTATCACATGAACTATACGTATGACAATATCAGCGATATATATGTGGGGGAGACATCTAATACTGTTACCTAAACTTGATGACCATTTCAAATACTTCCTGTACACCGTATACACCTTTAATATGTATGCTATTACCTTAATCACGTCGCAATCTGTATAGTGTGTGTATATAGCACTGTGGTGGTATTTTGTATTTAACATGTATACACACATCTTTGATGGCTACATGTAGTCGTAACTTAAGGTATTTCATACATGCCTTTGTCAGTGTATATAGTATGTGATGGACTCATAACTTTTCCTTCAAAATGAAAAAATATGAAAGTTGGTTGGTATACCCATGTCAGGAACAATGTCAATAATGATCTTTGCAGAAATTAATTGTCGAATATATTCTTGATTTTGTCTGAAAAGTAACTTTTCAATGCAGAATTTTAGTGGCGCAAAATTGCATTGAATATTATAATTCATGAAAACACTTACCTGTACATGCATTTCTGAAGTATCCGTGTATTGACCATTATCGAGAAAAATGTAAGAAAATACTTCAAATCTCAAGAATGATGGCATGTATTTTCATTGGATATTTTACAATAATTCATGAAGCTAACAAGGCTATTGATACAAGTCAAGCCAGATTACCTGAGTGAGAACCTGAAGGTGTTTTTAATGGTGTACAGGTAAAATCGCACATGTCTTGCATGCTTTTTCCCAACTTCAGGCAGCCTTGTTGGCTTTATGCTCAGTTGTGATTTATTCAGTGGAAATATATGCTATTATTCTGGAGATTTGACACATTTTCTTACATTTTTCTCGATAATAGTCAATAAATGGATGTACTTCAGGAATGCATGTTCAGGAAAGTTTTTTCATTAATTCCATTATTCATTGCAATTTTGCGCCACTAGAATTCTGCATTCAAATGTTCCTTTTCAGACAAAGTCAACAATATTTTCAACAAATAATTTCTGCAAAGGTAATTATTGACATTTTTCCTGACATGGGTATACCAACCAACTTCCACATTTTTATCATTTTGAGGAAAGGTTATGAGCCAATCTCATACTATATACACTGACATGAGCCTGTATGAAATACCTTAAAGGACGTTTATATTATTGTAACAGGAGCGATGTGTAAAAGATGTGGATTAATTAGGTTGCCTGACATTATCATAGGTTGAAGGTTTCTGTGAAGATATTTCATTACAGTCTGCCGGTCTCGTACTGCTCGTGCCAGCGACTTACATTAGAATGTGCTGGCTCTTATTTAAATATATTCCATTATAACCTGTCGGTCTAATACTGCACGTGTCGGGGACTTGTATAAACATGAATTACGTGCTGGTTAATTTGTGATATGGAGTCCCTACTGGTTCAGAAATACTCGGAATGGATTGGGCTGTATGTTTAAAGCATATCGAATGTACGTCAGTATTCACTTGAATAACGAATTTATATCCGTATCTATAACTACAGCCCAGAATATAGCACACAGAATCTACATCCGTTTCGGTTCAACTTGAAACAGTGAAACATGAGCATTGTTTGTGGGTATTTAGGCTAGACAATTAAATGTATTGTCCTTCAGAGTACACTATACATGTCGAGCATGTCATTCACCGGTAATCCACGCCAACAGGGAAGTAGTCTGGGTTAGCATGTCGCAACATGACGTCATTTTTTAATGACGGATCGGTTATATAACAAAAATGCCAATCCCGGAGGTGTATGCGTGTATCGTTATATCACACGGGTGTAGGTGTTTCAGCTGCGTCTGTGAGATGATGAAATATATACTGTGTAGATACTACGTACAGTACTACACATCTGTGAAGCCAAGCACTAGGGGCTTATATTACAGATATGTGAGACTAAGCCAAGCACTAGGGGCTGATATTACAGATATATGTGAGACTAAGCCTAAAGATCGTAAAAGTAGTTATAAAGCACCGAGAACATTGTATTGAGTGCGAGCAGATTAGGTACAATTGTATGGTAAAGGTTGTTGTTCATTAGAGAATACTGATGACGAAAAGGGCAATAAAGACCGACGACTTTTAACGACAGGTCGTAAGATACAAGTAAAAGAGAAAGGTTGAAAACTGTCCATTCTGTCATATAAGGAATGATTGGAGCCTGTAGAACAGAGATATATTCATTCTCCCACTGAATCAGTATTTCAAGGCGTTTCTGCTACTTTCGACACACCTTTGTATAAACATCGGACATCATTTTGTGTTAAGAATAGATAACTATTGAACTATGTATCAGTACCGAAGTTCACAACAATGTGTGTGCGTGTCTGTTGTGTTAAGCTACATGTATGGTGTCTCACCAATGAATGAATATTAACTTATTGGACAGGTACCGCTAGAGCGACTTTGGAAATGCACGTGAAATTCTTGTCCAATTGCTAAAAATGTAATGAACCCTGGGTAGGTATCCAGCTTGGCCAGTTCAGTTGTAAGGTTGGTTGTACAGGGTGTGGCCCCTATCCACAGCTAAGGTCATTTAAGGACGTGCCTACATGTGTGTTGTGTTGTGTGTGTATGTCTGCTGGAGACATGCTACATTTGTATGTTGGAATATTTACTTCCTTGTGTAGCCGACTCCAGAGTGCTATCCCACTGAAATGCTATGCCGAAGGCATCCACCACATCATTCTGATCAGTCACATTATACTGACAACGGGTGAATCAGTTCCTGCCATTTCCCCAAATTGCCGAAGCCAAGCAAGCGAGAACATGTAATTCTCCGGAAAAACCCTTGTATAATATCGCTTTCAAAATGATTTTATAGATTTTTAAAGGAAGAATTGTTGATGAATGCAGCACATGAAACACAAAGCAAACTTGGACGTCTATATAAAATGGCACTAACAGTAGAAGTACTGAAACGGAGGGTAAATAACCCTAAACTTTAATAAACACCTAAACTAGGACTAGTCGCAGTTCAATATATAGCACGCAAGGAGGGAATCATTACGCTCCTACGGCTTCGTAAGTCGTCAGAAGTGTCTGGGTTTTTTTTATCCAATCTGGATATAGGAGCGGGAAAATGAAAGGCCAGACCGGGGTTCAAACCCGGGCCCCTCCAAACACTAGACGGACGCTCTACCTGTCACGGCGACCAACCCGGTCCAGTTCTGTTATAGTATAATCGTAGACACTCACCTTTCGAAAGTTAGTCCCCGTATATGTTCAGGCACAAGACTTTCTCGGTTGTAGGGGTGTTTATTTATAACACGTGACGGGACGTTAACCCTATTCACAGTCGGTGTTATGAACACTTTTATTAAGTTGTAAATGAAAAGTAAATTCTTAAAAGAAAGCAGTAAAACGGCTTTATTGCGTACGAAAATGTACCATGATAGGGTTATTTATAATTTAGAAGGTACTCCAACATCACCTATACATAGAGTATACATGTACATACTATACTATATACATTTAATTGCGGGTATATACCAAGTGGCTTTTATATGTAGCGAGGAACTATATTTACTCTTAGACGGGTACTATTTTTACTGCAATGCCCTTTAAAATGGTGGCAGTTGTTCCGCGCTTGGCGTTCAGCATTTGGAGTAATCGCAACAATTGTTTTACCAATTATCAGTATACTTTGACCGGGTGGAGTACTGTCCTGGATGCCTTCGTATTACTGACACAGCAGCCAGGTGTCTAAAGTCAGCATCAGACCCACGCTGTAGCAAAACAGTAAATACACCAACATTAGGACGTAAAATAAAACCGAAACGAAACAAAATTCCTGTGGTGTACTAAATACATTGTATATAGCCGGGTACTGTACTTACTCCATGGCGGGTACAATATATAGCCGGGTACTATACTTACTCCATGGCGGGTACAATATATAGCCGGGTACAATATATAGCCGGGTACTATACTTACTCCATGGCAGGTACAATATATAGTCGGGTACTATATATAGCCGGGTACTATACTTATTCCATGGCAGGTACAATATATAGCCGGGTACTATACTTACTCCATGGTGGGTACAACATATAGCCGGGTACTGTACTTACTCCATGGTCGGTACAATATATAGCCCGGGACTATATTTACTCCGTGGCGTGTACAATATATAGCCAGCTACTATATTTACTCCATGGCGGGTGCAAAATATAGCCGGATACTATTACTACTCCATGGTGGGTGCAATATATAGCCGGGGAGTATATATAGCCGGGTCCTATATTTACTCCATGGCGGGTGCAAAATATAGCCGGGTTATATACTTACTCCATGGGGGGAACAATATATAGCCGGGTCCTATATTTACTCCATGGCGGGCACTATATATAGCCGGGTCCTATATTTACTCCATGGCAGGCACAATATATAGCCGGGGAATATACTTAATCCATGGCGGGTACAATTTATAGCCGGGTACAAAATATAGCCCGGGACAAAATATAGCCGGGGACAATATATATAAGAATACACGTGTACATGCTATATTACACGTGTTTATGTTATATATATAGTAATGCACGTGTACATGTTATATATAGTAATACACGTTTACATGTAATATATATAGTAATACACGTTTACATGTAATATATATAGCAATACACGTGTACATGCTATATATATAGTAATACACGTGTATATGTTATATATATAGGAATACACGTGAACATGTTATATATATAGGAATACACGTGAACATATTATATATATAGAAATACACGTGTGCATGTTATATATATAGTAATACAAGTGTACATGTTATGTATATAGTAATACACGT